AACCATTCGAAAATGATTACGTTTAAAAAAAAAAAAAAAAAAAAAAAAAAAAAAAAAAAAGAAAAAAACCCTTACGGGCAAAAGAGGGAGTTAGTGCATTGATGAAACTTGAAATAGTTAGGAAAAGTGCAGTCAGAACCCAGAAAACATAACCTAGGGTAGAAAGAAAGGGGGCAGGGTCAAAATGAGAACGTGTCGACATAATAAAGGGTTTTAGAGAGAAGTGCAAAGCAGCTCTGAAGTCGCCTCTCACTAGGGTTTCTATAGCTGCTGTTATTGAGAGAGAGCTAAACGGGAGAGGGGAGCGAACGGAGATGACGTGTTATTGCTGGGGGTATTTTTTTTTTATTTGGTGTTAACTGGTGAGATAAAGAATGAGAGGAAGGAGAGAAGAGTTATTGCTGAGGGTAGTAGGGCTGCTGCTGAGGGGGTTGCTGGGGGTAGCCAGGGTAGGGTTGTCCAGGAGGAGGGGCTGCTGGGTAGCCTCCCTGCTGTCCTGGAGTCTGCTGATAGGGCATGTAGGGCATGTTGGGCATGTTGGGCATGTTGGGCATGTTGTACTGTCCGTAAGCATAGGGGTTGTAGCCAGGCATCTGGTAGCACCTGCATGGGCGTCACAACAGAGGAAAATCGTCAGAGTGATGTTCCACAAAATATCATACGTTAAACGAATAGTCCAACAGTACAGAGACGTATGTTTTAGTACAAGGGGTCAATTGATTTAGATTGGATTAAAAAAAAAAAAAACTGTAACTATAAGAAAGAGCTAGAAGCAGCATAAAATCATGTTCACTCTATCCTGACATCAACATAGTTACGAGGGTCAATTTGTGCTCAGAAATCTGGACGCTGTGATTGGAAACTCACCCTGTATAGCCTTGGTAGCTGGGGTAAGGTGGTCCCTGGGCCTGGGATGGTGGGGCCATAGGCGGTTGGTTGCTGTTGGGAGGGCCCATTGGTGGTGCATTGATGGGAGGGGTGGAGGCTGCTTGAGGGACGACGCTCGGTGGAGGAGGCCTGGCTGGAGGCTGGGGCTTCGCCTGGGGTTGTTGAGGTTGCTGGGTCCAGCAGGTGGAGAGAAAGATGACGGATCAATATATAACCGTCAGCCTCACATCTGCTGCAAAGGTATTGAACATTTGGCTTTGTGTTTGTTTGTTTGTTTGTTTGTTTGCTGCTTACAAAGACGGTCCTGGGAGCAGGGGTTGGGCCACCAGCAGGGGCAGCGGGGTTGGTCTGATAGGCAGGAACGTTGAAGGACGGAGCGCTGGGCTCTCGGGCGATGCTCTGCTGCAGGTCCCTGAAACAACACAAACAGTGACTGTGCTGCAATGTTTCCTTCATATATATATGTTTCCTTCATATATATGTTTCCTTCATATATATATATATATATATATATAAAACTGGTGAGAGGCCGACCTTAACTCCCTGGCCAGCTGGTATAACTGACACACACATCAATAAAATACACAAAAAACAGAAAAGTACATACTTAAGTAGTTCATCCCGCTCTGTCTTGCGAGCAAAAACGATGTCGCTGCATTTGTTCTGGAACTTAAGCAGGATTTCTGTCAAGTCGTTGTAGAACTGAGGAAACAAAAGAGGACAAACATAAATCACCTGGCCTGCAAACCACCTTGACTCTAAAAAAAAAACCCCCCCAACAAATAAAAGTAGAACATCTCCGACAGGATACGCATTACTGCAGCACAGTGCATCCTTGCAGAGGCACGCGTGTGCCGGTGTGTTGTGCTGAGCGAGTACCTTGGTGCCTTCGCGCAGGTTGTTGCTGATCTCAACGTAGCTGTCATGGGCTGAAGCCAGCTTCTTCAGGACCTCCTCCCTCTGGTTGGCTTCCGTGTTGGACTGCGTCAGACTGCTGAACTCCTGGTGGGACGTCTGGAAAGGAGATCACAGATTGAGGGGATTAGCTGCGAACACCTTTCAGAACGAAAGTATATTGAAGAACAGCAGACTACCATTTGTTTGCGGTACTTCACAAGCAGGTCAAATGTCATAATGAGCTCACTCTTTAAGCTAGCAGAGGGTAGAAAACTGATAAAGAAATGGTCTCATTAACGGCTCAATCATTATCGGTGTTTGTATATGTATACCTGAATTTGTCCCAGCAGCTCTTCCTGCGAGCGGAGGGTGGTCTGTACCCGCTGGTTGTAGGCGCCGTACAACTGGTCGAGCTGGGAGAGTGACAGCTGCTCCTCATTGATGGTCCCATCCTGAGAGAGCGCCGTCAGGAAGCTGGTGGACATGTCAAAGGTCACAGCCTTGATCTCTCCCTCCAGGGTCTCCCTCTCCTTCTTCATCTCATCCAGCTGGGCGAGCTGGGAGCGCAGCACGTTCACGACCTGGGAGTAGAGGGACGCGGTGAACGAAGGTGGATCGGACATGCACGTACATCTCGACTTCTTCATCACTTTCAGTGCTCTACCCTGACCTCTCGCTCTTATGATGACTGCAACATACTGTAGTTTCTCCACTTTGGCGTGTATACAGTGTAGCTGTGGAGAGACTTCTAGCACTTCTGCCTTCTGCTTTACCAGTTCTGCTTGCTTAGTTATTTAAAGTTCCCCCGAGACACACAACGCAAAGTCAGCAAACAAAATGAAAAATGGAGCTACTGTGGGGAGGAGGGGGTTTACGTGGAACACAAGATTCCTTAGTACGAGGTGACGCAAAAACGAACCGCAACAATGAAAAGCTTGACATCATCTGGCTTAAAACAAACAAACGTCAGTGCGAGCTGACAGACCTCGCTGCCCTGCAGGGTCTTGGTCGGGTTGGCGGAGGGGATGGCAGCGTTGAGCTCGTTCTCTGGCTTACACAGCAGGGCGATCATGTCACAGTGGGCGGTGTAGCGGTCCCTCACCACCTGGTCCGCTTGCACGGCCTTGTCCAAGATGTTGCTGAAGTTAGCTCCCTCTGGTAGAGAGAAGGGAGGGAGGGAGTGTTAGAGAGAAGGAGGAAGGAAAAGAGGAAGAGGGTATTGCAACTGTCAACAGTGGATGACATGGAGACAAACTTCATGAGCAACAACAAGAAGCACGTGTTTTCAGTGTGTGTGTGTGTACCTGTGCGAAGGGGCTTGTAGAGGTCTCCAGAGGGGGTTCTGTTCCAGCGCTGGTTGAACTTGGTTCTCAGCTCGCTGTCTGTCGTCTCTTCGTCGTTCAGCATCTTCAGAGCCTGAAGACGAAGACAACACACAAACATACAGAGTGCTTTAACAACACCCCCACACACACACGCACACACTCCTCAGATAATTACACCTTTATTATTCAGTTTGTTGTTTTTTGGGCCATGTGTAAGTATTTTTGAGTATATTTATGCAGCCTTTTATTGGCACCAACTAACAATTGATTTTATTGATTTATCAATAAATCATGTTTTCTATAAAATTTCAGTTACTAGAGATTTCAAGAAATGTCTTCAAACTGTCTGACCAACAGTCCAAAATATTAAATTTACAGATATAGAAGAATGAAGACCATTTCCTGCGTTTGTTCAGTTGATCGTGTCGGCACTACTTTCATGTGTAATAACAGAAATGCTAGTAAATAATATAAAGTCTACTTTTTGGCCAGTAGAACTGTACTTCATGGTAATGGCTCTTTGTCAACACAACAGACTACTTTTAGGGGGAAATTAGGACATTATGGGTTTGGACTTTACAACTCTGCCAAACAAACTTGGAAGCAGTTTGTGTGTTTTAGGTTTTTACTCCCGTCTGTTTATTCGTCTGTCAGCAAGATTTACTAAAAAAAGAATAAATTGGTTGGCTGAAGCTGGAGGACAGAGCGTCCTTGGCCCAGAGATCAGTGGATTCGATTTCAGTGAGGATACTGATTTGGGATTTGCGCTATTGGGGACGATTTTGAGTTTTGGCATTCATGTGCTCTTCTGGCAGTGGTGCTAAACAGCATTTCATTCATATGCTTCTTTGTCAGGAAAACAAAGCCACATGAAAAACAAGCTGTTGTAGTTCTAAAAGTGCCTGCTTTACTTTTTAAATAAATTGGTGGTTACGGGTAGATCACTGGTTATGTGATCTGCAAAGTGCAGTTGCATATCTATAATTCAGTGTGTCTGTCTGACCTCATCCAGGATCTCTCTGTTGCGGGTCAGAAGCTCAGGCAGGTCTCTGATTAGCTGCTCAATGCTCTGCAGTCCTCCCAGCTGCACGACGGCTCGGGCCTTCTCAGCAATGGATTGTGGGATAGAATCTCCCGACAGGTCCTCCAGAGCCGCCGGCAGGTTTAGGGATGCCAACACCCTGACGGACAGTTACAAAGAATCTATCTGTTATTAAGGTCTCCACAAACATCAACTTGTGCACCGTACTCTTTTCAGGAGAGCGTACCCATTGCAGAGATTGGTGGCCTCCCTCATGGTTCCCACCAGTCTGTTCACAGTCTCAGCCTTCCTCTGGGTGTAGTTGCTCATGGACTGCTGCACCACCATGGGGACCATCTTCTCAAACAAGTCTGGAGAGATAAGAACAACATAAACAACTGGTTGAAAAAATAAATAAAAAAAACCAGCCAGACAGAGAGTCTGTTGTAGTCAAGATCCCATCTGGAGTCATCCAGTCCCTAAACAACAAGTTTGGAATCATATTCTTTAGAAGCTAAAGAGTGTGTCAAACACCCTTTACAATAAAGGAACTGTGTTGAGCCTATTTTACCTGCAAATTTCTGGCTGAGTGGAGGTGTGATGGTGGCGGCTTTGACGAGCGCCGCCTTGCCGATGTGTTCCAGATCCTTGACCTCGGGCACGCGGTCGTGGTAGATGAAGTCGTTGTCTTTCTTGGCTGCGACGAGGGCTCGGTTGATCTTCTCACTCAGATCCTTGACGCTCACGTATTCGTCGTAACCAGACGCCACTGTCTTCACCAACTCCGCTGAGCGCTGGAGGGACGAACAGACGGTGAGGATCAAATGCGCTCCATCAATACGCTTTCTTTAGTTTTTGGATGTGAAACTTGAAGGCATGTACGTCCAGTTTTTTTGAAGGTGACATAAGAACTAGGGATCTATGTGAAAGCTGTGCACCTGCAGGCGAGCGATCTCCTCTCCGAAGCGCTTCTTCTGCTTGGACACCATGCTCTGGTGCAGCTCAGCGTTGGCTTGCATGATGGTGTGCTTGGCCGCCAGCACCGACAGCACTTCCTGAAAATAAAAATACTGACCAGGGAGAGGCAACCACAGGGCAACACGCAGGCACGAAAAACAGATATATACACACACGCACAACAGCAACGCAAACCACAACACGGCAGACGCACACCAGCGAGGTCAAATCACATCACGAAAGCCAATCACAAACGGGCACAAGCAGTCAGAGGTGTGCACACACAGCACAAGCGCACACGTGCGCACACACGCGCGCACACACACACACACACACACACACACACACACACCCAATGCCGCCACCACCACAACGAGGGATGCAGAAAGAAAGGAAGACAACGAGAGAGAAAACAGAACAGGCCATGAGTGTTTAATCTTTCGTCAAAAGCTGCTGCACCTTCATCAAACGTCCCACAGCCATGTGTGTGTGTGTGTGCGCTCTGATATCCACACATGTAGAAACTTATAACAAAGCTAATTCTGAACTTACGAACAGCTGGTGCAAGTTACACATTTCCTGCTGTTCACTTAACTCTGATTTGATTAACCTCAAAATATTAAGTCTGTAGTGTGAACCTGAGGTAGTGTGTGTTTCAGTCAGATCGTAAGTACTTCAGAGTCCCATGATTAGATGGTAAGAAACCAATCAGAATGAAAACAAGTCAAACTGCAGATTAGTAGTAACCAACCAATCAAGAGTACATACAGGATGGAAATGGACCAATGAGAACAGAGAGAAGTTGCACTTTAGACAGTCCTGAACAATCTTAAAGTCTATTATTCAGAAATACACACATACAAAACAAAAAGCACAATCAGACAATACACACGCCAAACCAACCCAAGAATCCAAACTCTGTGCATCTTCACCACACCGAACACCCGGCTGACCTACAGGTGCATCCCTCACATACCTTGGGCAGGTTGTCTTTGTACTGGCACTGCTTGCAGGCTTCGCCGTAGAAATCTGCCGCCTGATTGGCCAGCTTTGCAATGACAGCATCTTTCATCCTATCTATTGGGTGAACAAGCCACTGTTAAAGAGAACATATCAAACAAAAACACACTCAAGATAAAACAAGCTGATCAGAGCATCTGGTCTGTTAACTGACATCTTAATTCAGAAAGCTCTGCAGCTTCTACACCAGCCTGATGAAATCGCTCTTACATTTTACAGAATATAAAAACTATTCAACAGCAACTCACCACCTCAGCAGAAAATGGGAGTTTAAATTTAGGATGGAACTTTCAAAACTGTGCTTAGAAACTCTAATAAGCAGCTATGTAGACAGAACTGGGACAGACGCTCAAAACTGCCCACTACCGTCGTTCTAAATAAACCGTAAGGCAAAAAAATGTGTAATATTAAAGATGCTATTTATTCAGAGACAGGCAGATTTGTGATACCAGTTTCCATAAACTTGTCAGACACACTTTCAAGCAAAAAACTAACAAGTGGTTCATGTCTATGATACACTTTTAAAACCAGGGAATTAAACTGGATGTTTGTTTCTCTTCTTCTGAGTATCGACATGACAGAAACGGAGATAAATCACGATACACTGAAAAGGTTTGAAAGTCTCTCCAGCAGTTTATGATGCAACAGTCTCTCAGTGAAGACTATGTGTGTGTGTTTGTCTGTCCTTTGGTACCTGAGGTGGCTTTGAGGAAGAAGACCTCTTGGGCCTGGGCTAGCATGATAAGCTTCAGGGTCCCCACAGTCTCGGGGGAGATGTCCATGGTGGGCTCCCTGTTCAGCGCTGTCAGCACTGTGTCCTTGATGTGACCGAACGCTCCGCTAGCCAGCTGGGTAGTGAGACAGATAAAGAGAGAGAGACGGGTGAGACACCACTGCAGATACTGGCGATGATTGACGGTCGTAAAAACATCACTGTTCAAAAGCTCTCTCCCCCTCTACCCCTCTCCCCCTCTCCCCCTCTCCCTCTCTCTCTCCCCAACAAAAAGTTAATGCTTTGTACATAGCATAAATTATGTTTGCTTAAAGCACAGTTGTATCAGTAACCATACCAATCATAAAATGCAAATTTATATTCAATATGCTGGTAGAATCTTGAGAAAACAACAATAAACAATATTGGAAATGTGAACAGACGCCTAAAAGTCGCTTCCACAACAGAGTTTATCTGCCGCACATCCCTGTGTGTGTTGGTCTGCCCACCTGATAGAATTTGGCAGCAGTCTTCAGGCCCTCGTCGTTGTCCAGGTTCTGCTCCGAGCCGATCTGACTGGCCAGGGCTGCTGCGTTGAACAACACGCATGTCTTCTCGTAGCCCACACTGGCCAAAGCTGCAACACATAAAAAAACAAACAAAACACAAAATCTTCGTTAGAGTGCATTCTGCTTCTTATCAGGGACAACTTCAACTGCAGAATAATATGCTTTCACAGCATCGCACGGCTAAGAAGTGGTGACAGAGGGGGAAAGTGACATCTATCTTTCATCCCTCGAGTACCGAGTCTGTTATCGACTGCTTGCCGTTTGTGTGGGGTCGGCATTTTCTTCGACCAACACTTTCTAATGCTTCATTCTACAGTTTTGGTTCTTATTGGTTGTGTGTGTAAGAGATAGACAGATAGTAACAGACGGATAGTAAGAGATAAGACAGATTTGTACCATTGAAGCTAAAGTCCTACATTGGCTTTAACCCTTTTTTTAAAATGCAGCATGCACAGATATTCTCCCACGTACACGAATGCACTTGAGGTTGCACTTACCGAGCTTGACCGAGCCCCCGAACAGCGATCCTTTATCAAAGGCATCCTTCCATGTGAAGGTTAGGCAGAGCTGTGGAAACAGAGAGACGCTTTGTGTTCAAGTTCTTCTGTTTGGGAACTTAAGTCTAACCATCGCGTGCCGTCCGATCAGTTACCTGGTTCTCAGAGAAGGGAAACTTGGGCTCCACCGCACACAGTTGGTCATAGTATCTGGAGAGAGAAAGAAACGTTTTCTTAAGCGCCGTCTACACCCAAACATACCTGCTCTGATTGGTTTCAGATATGTCATCATTTTTATAATTATCTTTGAACTTGACATTTAGTTAAAGGAGACAAACAGTGAATGTGAAACTAATTTAAAGAGGAGTAACTATTATTACATAACAGCAGCTCTGAGGTCTGAGGAAGCTCTGCCATTTTAGAGACACTTGACAATGAGTCAGGAAAAAAATACGAGGACAGACAAACGCACTGCAGCACGCACACAGACAAACGCACACCAACACACGGTCAGTGATCCTCAGCTCTTTGTCTTATCAGTGTGCGTGTGATGTAAATAGTCTATTATTAGAAATGACAACATGCAGAAGGGCCAGTGAGGGAAACCCTGTTACCAGTTCATTCAGCCGGCTTAACCCAGAGCCAAGAAAAAGGCCGGAATTCAAACTTTGTCTTTCTACATAAAACATAAACATTTAGTTTGTTATCCTTTAGTTTCTCATTCAGATACACAAGAACACACAAGAACACACACACGACAACACACACACACACACACACACACAGGAAAGCTGAGACGAGGTGTGCCGACCGGTTAACTAACGGAAAAAAACCTGGACAAAACAATCGTTACCACGGTGACACAATAGCTTTGAAAAGGATAGGGCGCGTCGCCCCAGCGACCTGGCACATGGCGGACGGACGACATGTGCCGAGAGACGAGGAGCAGTCAGCGAGGGACACGCATGCTAACTAAGACCCTGTATCTACAAACCCACAGCTGACACAGAAAGCATGACAAAATGTCACTTTACATTCTAGTTAGTAAGTTAGTTAGTTAGATTAAAACAATGGGCTAATCTTTAGGATCATGTGAGGATCTTTCCTCTTCAGTCAGTACAGATCATTTTTGTCAATATTTCTCTAAAATACTTTCTTCACAAACCGTTGCCATAAACCAGGGATGCACATATCCAACAATTTGTCTCCAAACACAAATGTTTATGCCTCAACTGAGGTTATAGGTCAATAGATCTGACACCAGTTACGTATTTTCCCTAAATGTAGGATCTGTATTGGGATCATTTTTTATGAAAGGGCAACGTGAGAAGAATAAACAACCGGCCACGCTGCAAGTGCATACCTGGCTGACGTAATGTGGGCAAACCCTGTGCATTAAATAACTGATGAGTCATAAAGAAATGCAAAGTCTGTGTGTCACCGATGAGTTTTTATTAGATGATTGGTTATCATACATGATATGACGGATAAGGAGAAGGCTAACTTAGTCCTCTGTGGGATTCTGCATTAGTGCTCAATCATCAATATGTTATGTCTGTAAACTGGTAATTGAATAAGAGCAAGACAAGCGTCAACAACAGCCATGCACTGTAAATGGAGCACGAAACAAAAAGGAACAAACAAAATCATTTTCTGTCACAGTTCCCTTATGCAAAGTAGTTACCACTGTGACGCTCTTCTGCTCTTTACACTAAGTGTATATATGTCCTCTGCATTATACACAGGCCTTCTCTGTAGCTCATGTCTCCGTGCATTGAGGCTTCAGAGTCTCGTAGACACACAATTGTTACGCTTTATTATATCCATCTCTGTTTGTTGATATGAAAAGCTGTCACTCTCTTCCCTGGATGTGTGATCACTGGCTACCAGTGGACTGAAGGCCTCTAGGCCTGAATGTGACAGCTGGCAGGAGAGCTGTGCTTACACTTTCTCCCTGATGCTGTGTAGATACAAAGCTCCTGTAAATATATTTAGAACTGTGCCCATGAGTTTGAATAGGCTTATGTATGAATGAATTTGTTGGCTAGTGATCTTCTGGGGAAGTCACAAGTTATTATTAGTAGCTGTCACGTTTGTAACACAAACTCAGGAACAGTAGGAGTCAGCTGATGATCAATCTTCCAAATAAACATTGTCAGGTGAAGATGGTTGCTTTATGCTGTCACTGACGTACAGTTGTATTTGAGCTTTTGTGGTTGGTTTTATATAAATATATTTCACGCATTTTATTATGTTTGAGTCTGTCTGTGCTCTGTGTTTTACCTTGGGGGACAATAAAGTTTATGCTGAACGGTGAAGCTAATTCTAAAGCTAATGGTTTAGAGAGTTTAACTTTACTTGAAGTCAATTCAATAAATAAACCAAAGCTTAAATCACAACTAGCTCAACTAGCCTAGCTAATTTCATTCAGCAGGCATCTGACCGTTCAGTTAAAGACGTAAACTTAGCATTAAATATCATACGAGTCAGTTATTATGTTGAGAAATGCCCCTCTAGCAAATTAGCGTGACTAACTTTAGCTTCCAGGTTAGCAACTCAAAGCTAACACATTAGGGTGCGGCAATAACCGGGATAACTCACCTGCGACAGGTAATAAGGTTGCTCTGAGTGGTCATATAACACGGTAGCTAATTCAGTCACGTTATAAAAGCAGAACTTTCTACCTGAGCAGGATCTCCAGGGAGCTCTCGTGCTTGTCCAGAGGCCTTCCCAGCGCACTCTTGCGGAGCTTGTTCAGCTCATCCACAGCTCGGATGTACTCCCCCTGCTCCTCGCCCGCTGGGTATGTAGCGGTTATAAATTTAGAAAGTGGTTTCACCAGATCCACCTCGGAGGACTTCTTTAACGGGACTGAAATAAACGTCGCCATTTCGGCCCGTAAAAGCGATTTGTTGAATCAGAAAAACAGACGATAAGCGACCAACGAACACAAACAACAGCGAGCGAGCGACCCACTTCCTGGTTTCTGACAGGCGACGTCCAATTACGTCATGGGGAACAGACAGGCGCACTGCGCAGACTCAGTAGCGTTTTAATAAGAAGTGGACCAGAGCGAGAGAAGAGCTACTCATCTGCTCACAGATAGACAGACAGACAGACAGAGAGACAGAGAGACAATACTCCTGCCACAATATTACATGGGCCCTGGTGTGCTGCGAGGGTAGAAACACAAATACTTCAGTAATATACACCATATAATATGTAATAATAATATGTATAGACCACAACACTCTCCTATAGAGGCCCAACGTGTTCACAATTTTACACATAATCATCAACTTCATAAATGTATGAATATAGACATAATATATAATATAAAGCATAAAATTGTGAAACAGTTACATAATTATTTTTTTTAAATGTGCTTACTACAATGATATGTTATTTCATCCTGCTTATCTTTTGTAAGAGCTATGTTTATTGTGGGTTATTTTATTAAATTACATTAGGTTATATTTAAAAATGTCATCAATGTTTCAGACCATTTTGTTTTTATGTATCCTATTTAGAGTTTTCACTCCCATTAAAAGGACACACCTAAATCAGCAGCCAATTGATTAAATGGAGATCTCCTGTGTTGTCAAAGGGGTTGTAATTGACTGTAGTATAAGAGGCAACACCTGTATCTGGAAGGTCCAATGTTTGCAAAGACGCATCTACTAAGTGACCAATTGTCAAAAAAGACACATTGAATTTACTTTGATTCAATGTTTTTAGACAATAAAACATAAAAAAGTGGGTGAATTATATGTAATTTGCTGTTTTTACATTCAGCCCAAAGCAACAGACAAATAATTGATATTGCTCGTATTTGTTGGTACGCTCCTTCATTTAATGATGTCTTTAAATGTGAACACTTTGGATCTCTATAAATATCAACTTACATATCTAATGTCTTATAACTACAGTATTTTTAACACACTCTTACAGGACCCCTCGTAAGGTCTTATGTCAGTTTATTCTGTGCTATAATACTGCATATTCCTTTATTCCCAAACAGTGTTACATCTGTTTCAAACACTTGATCAAATTACCACAAACCATTTGCTACACGTGAACCTGGAGGGCTTAGGGCCCAGTAGGGGGCCTCTAGCTCCAGGGCGGTTCCCACTTTGTGGGATTAAGCAAAACCGTATAAAACACAATAACTATAGATATGACTGGTAAACCAGATGGGAAATTAAAAAAGACTATAATGCAGAAGCAACTGGGTAACCTGTAAGACAACACATGCGGTTACACTCAATGAAAGCTCTTTGAGACAGTACTACCAGCTGTTTGCGGTCCACTAGGATGCAGATAAATTGCTAGTTTTAGTCTGCTAATTGCTTGCAATAGCTGTATTCACTCTTCATCCCAGATGTAATTCAGCCACTGATACAACTGCTGGGGGGAAAGTTTGCATGGTTCTGGATCCTAAACATCTGGTTTGGGAAAGACCTTTTGGCAGGTGCTTTGTGCTTAACAAACTATACGAGTCACCGCTCCCTGTAATCTAATTATAGTGCAACAAAAGGCCACTGTTTTGCTCTGTCACCTTTGATTTCATGCAATACCACAACAGACATTAATTGTTGTTCTTTGTGCCTTGTAGAGAAATCTGAATTGAGTGTAACTGGATTCTCAGAGGTTACTTATCAAACTGTTAAAACAGTTGTATAATAGCCAGTGTTGCTTTGAAAGAGCTCTCAAAGGCTGAGGGAATGATCCAGATCGTTATCAGGGCTGTCTTGGCTTGGAGACAACATCAGAAAGCTTACTTTACAAAATGGGGATAAGCAGTTTGAAAGAAATGGGCGTTTACCAGATAAGGAGGATCTAAAAATAAAATACTTTTTCTGTGCACATAAAATGTTATTTATCCGTTTTTTGTTTTACACACATTTGATAGAGCACGTGGTGAGCACTTCTCCTCTGCTGAGATAATCAATCCCGCCCCGACAGGCGCAGGTGGCACATCAAGATGCTGATTAAACAGCATCGTTATGACACAGGTGCGCTTTGGGTTGGCACCAATAAAAAGCCACTCTAGAAATGTGCAGTTTTAATCACACAACGCCACGCATGTCGCAGGTTTTAACGGGCTGTGCCCTCGGCATGCTGAGTGCAGGGATGACGTCCAGAGCTGCTCGTCTGCACGTTCTTCCTCCTCAGCCGGGTCTTGACCTTTTGGCGTCGCCTCTTTATACCACCATGTTTTTTGCATGGCCTCACCAGACATGTTATCCATTGAGCATGTTGAAGATGCTCTGGATCTGCGTGTTCAAATCCCTGGCAATACCCAAAAAAAACTTCCCACAGACACTGAAGATGCGTGGGCTAATATTCAACAGGCCAGTCAACAACATGATCAACTGGGTGAAGCACATGTGTTGCACTGCATGAGGCAAATACTGGTGACACCAGATACTGATTCTGCAGGATAAGCTACCTGTGACCAAAACAAAATTCTGTCGCTCTATAGTTGTGTCAAGTGTGTCTGTTCTGAGTGGCCTTTTATTGTGGGCACACAGATTTTAACAAAGAGCGCACAATTTGAGAGAAACAAGCTTTTTGTGTGCATAGAAAAAGTAAAAATTTCAACTCGTGAAAGATGGAAACACAAAGAACAGTTGCATTTATACTTTAGTTCAGTGTGAATTGAAGAAGTATCCATTAAGAGTGGACAACCATGCCTTTTCTCTGTCCTCTTGAGTCAAAAACAAACAATGCTACGGTACAAAGGAAGGAAATATAGAATAGCAGGACACCAGAGAAAGTTATGAAATCATTTATTCCCAGCACATGTGGTTGTGTACATCTCCAGCATACGATACTGTGCACATGAGAAGCATCATCATTGACATTAGGCTGTACATGAACAGTGGTCACCTCTCCTGCCCACAGTCACTCTCTCACACACACACGCACACTCTCTCACACACACACACTCACTCACTCACTCACGCACACTCTCTCTCTCTCTCTCTCACACACACACACACACACACACACACACACACACACACACACACAC